AGTCGAGGATCGGCACCGACCAACTTCTCCTCCCCTGACTTGGGATGAGAGGCAATGGCATTATTTGTACGGGAATCGATACCCATACCCTTGGGCACTCCCGATACCACCCCCACCTGAATGGGATCGTCAGTCGGTGTCATCCCGCATTTCGCGCTTTCAAGATCGACCATCGGTATCGAAGCAGTCGATACCGACGCATCCACCAGACCCGGTTGTGCCCCCGATTAACACACCGGCACCGTCTCAACCTGAATTACTCGAATCATCTCCAGAACCATCCAATGTATCCTCCGATTCAGATGGCTTTTCTGAACATATCGAGGATGTAGATGCACAGCCCACCTCGCAAGATGTGGAAGCGGATTTACCTATTTCTCCATCAGAGGATGTTAAGTCTTATGGAGATTTTATTCAACGCATGGCATTAGATCTATCTATGACTCCTACTCTCGTTGCCAGTTTTGTGGATGATAACGTTTTTGACATTATGCACTCTAACACTTCGCCCTCCGTGGCTCTACCAATGACAAAAGTTCTCTTGCAAACTACCAAGGACTTTTGGACTCGTCCAGCCTCCATTAATGTCTCTAATAAGCGTCTGGATCACATGTACAAGGTCCAGGAATCAGGGGCTGAGTTTTTATACACACATCCTAAGCCCAATTCTTTGGTCGTTTCCTCGTCCACGAAAGGAAAAGCGAGCCACTCTACTCCATCAGACAAAGAAGGAAAAAAGTTGGATTCGGTTGGTAGAAAATTCTACACTGTCGGTGCAATGGGCATTAAAACGGCGAACTATGCCGCCTGCATGGGCCGTTATCAATTCAATTTATGGAAGCGTTTGAATGATTTCCTCCCGCACGTGCCCAAAGAGTGCCAACCTCAGATTAAAAGGATTCAGAATGAAGGGATGGTCTTGGCTAGACACCAAATTAGTGCTGCCAAGCATTCCCTGGAATCCGCTAGTAAGACTCTAGCAACCTCTGTAGCGTTACGCAGACATGCCTGGCTCCGCTCTTCATCATTGCCATATGACACCAGATCCTCGGTGGAAGACCTTCCCTTTGAAGGTTCTGGATTGTTTAGCTCCACCACTGACACGGTTCTGCAGGAAATGGATAAGAGTATCAAGACGTCCAAGAGTTTGGGGATCTCCCCCACGACCAAATACTCGAAATCCAAGCAGTGGCCTAGGCAACCTTGGTCGACCAGGCAACCGTACAACAAATCACCTACGGATCAATGGCAAAGACCTCCCTCTCAGTCACGGTCTTTTCCCCCGAAAAATAAGGGACAATCGTCCGGTGCCTATAAGTCGAAATTCCCTAAGAATCCCAAACAGGGACTTTGACTTCAACCTTACTGCTCAGACTCGCCTTGCACCCTTCCTGCACGCATGGCTCGCCATTTCTACGGACAAATGGGTGCACTCTATAATAAGAGATGGCTATCTCATAGAGTTTTCTCTGACTCCCAAAATCTCCCGTTTTATCAGAACCCCGGCGTCTCCTGCCCTGCTACAGGAGGTACAATCGCTGACACAAAAAAACGCTATAGAGAAAGTCCCGATGGCGGATTGTTGCCGCGGGATTTATTCCAAATATTTCACGGTCCCCAAGAAGGACGGAGGACTTCGTCCAATCATGGACCTTCGTTTTCTCAATCGGTTCATCATTTACAGAAAGTTTCGCATGACCACGTTGCAAAGCATTTTACCACTCCTGTCTCCAGGGACTTGGATGGTCACTTTAGATCTCAAAGACGCTTATTTTCACGTCTCCATCCATCCTCGTCACAGAAAGTTCCTCAGATTCGCAGTCGGGGAGGACCATTACCAATTCAAAGCCCTTCCATTCGGGCTCTCTACCGCCCCCAGGGTTTTTACGAAGGTAATGGTGGTTGTCGTCGCTCATCTTCGCCTTCAGGGCATTCAGATCTTTCCGTATATAGACGACTGGTTGATGGTGGCAGATTCAAGAGAATGTCTCCTTCAGCACATCACCATCACATTGTCGGTCCTATCCTCCCTTGGAATTCTGGTGAATTTACAGAAATCCATGCTGCAACCTGCAACTCGCGTGCAGTTCATAGGAGCTGTCATAGACTCCCTAGCCACTCGGGCGTACCTTCCTCGCCAACGGGCAGATACCATTCGTCTGGAAATTCAACGTTTGTTCCAGTCCAACGTGACATCAGCGGTCCACATTCAGCGGATCTTGGGTCTCATGGCAGCCACCACTTCCGTGATCGAATATGCACGCCTTCGCATGCGCCCGTTGCAGCTGTGGTTTCTAAAGAAATTTCGCCCTTCCATCCATCCTCCGAGCCTTCAACTGGTAGTGCCTCCGCAGGTCCTCGTCTCCCTGCAGTGGTGGCTCGTGGACACCAATCTGTTGGCGGGTGCACCGTTCCAACCGATCGTTCCCGTAATGTCCATCACCACAGATGCCTCCCTGTGGGGTTGGGGTGCTCATACAGACGACACTTGTGTGGGTGCTCCATGGCAACCCCTTTGGAAGAGTCATCATATCAACTATCTGGAACTGCTGGCCGTAAAATTTGCCCTCAGATCCTTACTCAGACAGGTTGTAGGAAAAGCTGTGTTGATTTTTACGGACAACACAACTGCGATGGCTTATATCAATCGCCAGGGCGGGACCGTGTCCAGGTCCCTTTGCAGGCTAGCTATGGACATATGGGAAGAGTGCCTTCATTGGAACATCACTCTCCAAGCTGCCCATCTGCCAGGAACTTTGAACCAACAAGCGGATTTCCTGAGCAGAGGGGGAGCATCGGACCACGAATGGGAGTTGAACTCAAAGTATCTCCTTCCTCTTTTTCAACATCTGGGACATCCCCACATCGATGTTTTTGCAACTCGATTGAACAAGAAGTGTCCCAGGTTTTGCTCCAGAGCGGGGTTGGACCCTCTGTCAATGGGGGACGGTCTGTTGATGTCGTGGGCTCACGACTTTCTATACCTATTTCCTCCGATTCCGCTGCTCCACAGGGTGCTTGTGAAAATACAACAGGACAAGCCCCATTGTCTCCTGGTAGCCCCCTGGTGGCCTCGGCAGGTGTGGTTTCCGACACTGCTGCGGTTAGCCAAGGGATCCTTCGTACACTTCCCGCAGGAGTTGGATCTCCTCCAAGCTCAGGAAGGCCAGGTCCTTCACTACGATCCTCTGAGTCTCAAGTTGACTCTATGGGAAATACGCTTTCAGTGATGGATGACCGTATCAATGAGGTCCTGTTGAATTGTCGTAAACTGTCTACTAGGACGTCTTACGCAAAGAAGTGGGATTTATTCCTACAGTACTTGAGTTCTTCCAATTTACCTCCTCCGCCAGTGGATTTGAGGTCTATTTTTGCGTTTATTTTGTCCAGAATGGACTTGGGACTCAGTTTTTCTTCAGTTAAGGTGTATTTAGCTGCGGTGTCAGCTTTTCATCCATCTATTGATGGGTTTTCAGTTTTCTCGCATCCTCAGACGAAACAGTTTTGTAAAGGTCTTATTCGCCTGTACCCTCCCCGTCGTTCTCCGACTCCGGCCTGGGATTTGGCTTTAGTTTTGCGGTTTTTGATGGGAAAACCCTTCGAACCACTGGCCACTTGCTCTCTAAAGTTGTTATCGCTCAAGACTGCGTTTCTGGTGGCCATTACTTCTGCTCGTCGAGTCAGTGAGTTGTCCGCTTTAAGGTGTGATCCACCATACTTGATTTTTTCCCCTCATGGGGTGTCGTTGTCTTTGGACATCTCCTTCTTACCGAAAGTCGTTTCGGAGTTTCATCTACGTTCAGATATAGTTTTGCCGTCATTTTTCCCGTCTCCTGCCAATGAAGAGGAACGGAAATTGCACTCTCTGGATGTTAAGAGGGCGTTGCTGTTCTATTTGGGCAGGACCAAGTCTTTTCGTCAGTCTCCAGCCTTGTTTGTTGCTCACAGTATGCCCTCCCTAGGGAAGAAGATCTCTTCCCAGACGCTGTCCAGGTGGATTGTGGAAGTAATCAAGCTATGTTACGCTTTGGCTAAGAGACCTCTTCCAGGTCAACTTCGCGCCCACTCTACAAGGGCGGTGGCGGCTTCCACAGCTTTCCTGAGAGGGATGCCATTGGAGGACATCTGCAACGCTGCGACTTGGGCTACTCCGCTCACCTTCGTGAAGCATTATGCCCTTGATGTCCGGTCTACTCGTCGTGTGGCGTTGGGTCGGTCTATCTTGCAGACGGCGCAGGTGTAGGGCCTCGGCCCCTCCTCCAGGTAAGAGTTATTGCTTGCTATTCTCCCAAGGGTGTGATGCACAGAGACCACGAAGAAGATAGACAGGTTGCTTACCTGTAACTGGTGATCTTCGAGTGGTCATCTGTGCATTCACACCACCCGCCCTCCTTCCCCTCTGCTCTCGGCCCTTCATCTTGTTTCTTTGAAGGCTGTTGGGCGGCGGTCAGAAGGAACTGGCGGGATCTGCGTGCCCCTCCTTGGTCATGCGCAGTGGAGCCGGCGCGTGACCTGGGAGAGGCGCGAAAATCCCTTTTGCTAGCTATCGGTACCGAGAAGGTCAGCGCAGGCGCAGAGTATTCCCAAGGGTGTGAATGCACAGATGACCACTCGAAGATCACCAGTTACAGGTAAGCAACCTGTCTTTCTCTGCAGCTCTGTGGTATTCCTGCTCCATAGTTATAGCTCCAACCCAGCAGTTGTCCATATAGGTAAAAATCCATGTGTACCCACATTGCACAGTACGATTTATATACAGATCTCAGGTGAATTCAGTTTTATAATGTGTGAAGAAGTTGTAATATAAGGATCATAGTAGTATGATTGTCTGTTCCTAGTCACTATAGAATTCAGTTCTTTATTGTTTGGCATTACTTCTTTTCCAGATTGAACAACTGTATTCACACAACTGTTTCCAAAAATCTCTTTTGATAATAAGAAGAAAAAGTTGAGCTTGCATTAATTTTAGTGCAAGTTTCATAATGACTCTTGGAATAAGGATGGAAAGGAGCAATATCTATGCACGCAGAATTTCCTTGGTTTTCTTTCTATGCCAAATAATTATAGCATTGGAAGTACCTCCTGATCGTAAGTATTAATGCTTTGTAGCTTAAAGAAAGTATAACTGGCTAAGAGCATGGGTATAAATAATAGTAAACAATGGGACCAGGTGACTTAAGATGGTTAGAAGGAAAAAAATCTTGGCAACTTAAAATCACACTGTAAAAGAAAATGTATATGTTTTTAGAAAACTGCTTCTGTTAGTATAGACTCTTCCATGTTCCCTCTTCCCTTAGTTATAGGGCTTTCAGCAATAACCTTTTACAGAGTTAGTCTTTTTGGAGAAAACAGCATTATTTATTTTTATTAATCTAAAACATTTTTATTCTGTCTTTCAACTCTTTTTTGTGTTGTTTTAGGGCCCCCAAGCCAGCAAACAATCAAGAACATTAAATTAAGCTTTTAAAATACATGTATATAAAACAATAAGAACATCAATTAAACAAACAAAAACATAGACAGGAAGGAGAATCAGAGAGAAAACACCAAACAAGATGGAAAACTCTCTAATTCCTGGTGGAAGACAATGATAGAGGGGGACAGATGAATATCCCTAGAGAGGGGATTCCATAGTTATGGTGCCAAGACCAAGAAGGCCCTTTCTTGGGTCGGCACCCAAAGCAGGACCCCTGAAGATGACCATAGTGGTTGGGTAGGTTAATTTGGGAGTGGCGAAACCTTAAGGTATGCTGGCCGCAAGCCTTATAGGACTTTAATGGTCAAATGCCAGCACATTAATTTAACCCAAACCCGCTCAGTGTTATAGACTTAGGGCTATATGAGACATGAAGGTTCTCCAATTGTCTATAAATCAGGGGATAGAATTCCACTTTTTGGGAACAAGTATCACGGATGAGGGATGCCAAACCCTTCCCTGTCGATGGTTTATCTCCCTGCAGTCTGTCTTAGCACTTTGGTGAAAGTCCTTGGAGAAAGGGGCTATGACTAGGCTGACTAGGGTTTGCTCAGCTCTTCTCTCTAACATGCCTTATTTATTTATGGCAGACCTGGGTTTAAACAAAATGGGTATGCTGTCACATCTAGCTTGGCCTTTATGATGACTTTTGCAATAAATTGTCTACAAATGTACAAACTGAGTACATGGGAGGCATGCACACATACAAGCAGTATTAGTCCTCAATAAAATTCAACCCAAACTGTTCTAGCTCTTAGAAGCTATTTAGGGAAACCAGGTGTGTAGCTGGGAGTCAATTTAATATAGATTCCCCTTCTTCCTGTGATCTTCTATACTGCATAGCATATTGTTTAGAATAGTTTTCTGACTTTCAAGCACAGGAGGTTGCTGGAGAAAAGAGAAGATTGTTTTGCAAAGCTTAGTTAATGGTAGTTCGGATGTTACAGTAATTTTCGATAAATATGAAATTTTACATTAAATAATAGCCCAGGTTTGTGTAATGCAAAACCTAATGCCTTAATTCTTAGGTGAGAATTTGTTTTTCTTATTGTGAAAGAAATTAACATCACTGCACAGGTTTAAATTTCCCCCCCTGTTGTGTGGATATAGGAATAAGGAGGAGATAACTTCTGAAGATACCACCCAAACAAGTAACCCAGAGAAAAGCAAACTCTATTTTGGGTTTAGTAGTGGCTTGCATCTTCTGGAGCAGGATTAGTTGCAGAGGAAAGGGAGATCTCATTGTATTGTCAATGTTCATTTTTGTATGTAAATTCCTTCTTTGAATTGCAGACTTAGTTTATATCTCCAGGAGCAAATGAATTAGTAATCTATTGAGGGTTTTCCCCCCCAGTCATAAGATCTAAAAAACCAGGAAAAAGGAAAGAAAATAAATTTTTAGTTTTCCTATAGCATAAGTTACAAATGCTACAGTTAAGATTAGCAGGTTTATTCTAAATATTCTAAATACTCAAATAGTTTGGCAATGATGTAACAGTATAGATAAAAACTATGCATCTGTGATGTCTTGGAATAGAATTGGTCCATATCGGGCCATATCCAGTGGAGTCTTAGGTGTTTAGTTGATCTTCTATATATGGATATATTAATTTTGACTCTAGTGTGAAAATATTTGTATTTCATTAATTCTCTTCTCTACCTTGTCAGGACTTTCATTATCAATACTAAATGTCCTTTATAAGTCAGACTGACATGTAGTTCTTGTACTTGAAAATTCAGCATTTGATAAGGGTTCCACACATTTAATAAGCCACACCAACTCCTGACACATTAACAAAATTATTTCAGTATATCTAATATATGAGTGCTTGTTGTTTAGAAAAGATCTTTAATGCCGATGATTGGTATATTTTTCAATAGTTTTTAAGATTTCACTTTTACTTCGTACTAACAAATAATTTTCTTTAATCCATAACTGCAATTCAACTGCTGAATCTAATGTGGGGGGAAAAGCAAAACTTCTTGAAGAATGTAAGTTCTGCCCAAAAACTTGATACAAATGAAAATTCCATTGTGTGCATTGAGTGTGAAGACCAAATGATGTGTGTTTTGTACAGTAGTGTGCTGTTAATAATATAGGGTTGCCAACCTCCAGGTGGTGGCTGGAGAACTCCTGGGTTTACAACTGGAAGGTGGACCCTATGGGATTATACCCCATTGAAGTCCCTCCCCTCTCCAAACCCCGCTTTCCTCAGGCTCTACCCCCCAAAACTCCAGGTATTGCCCAGCCTGGAGCTGACAACCCTATATAATGCTGTGTACAGGTGATTATTTGAAGCCAGTATTGTAGACACTATATTATCTGGAGGTAATTTTGGAATGAATTTTTATTTATTTATTTTCAAATTTTGTTTAGTACTTGCCGTTTTCACAGAAGTGCTCACGAGTCTCTCTCTCTCTGTGTGGGAGGGTGTTATCTCTCTTTTCTCAGTAGTGTTGAACATTTTAGGAATGTTTGTAAACTTTGTTTTTAATAAGGGGAATTGACCGTTAGTAACTGCTTGATATTTCCCTACTCAATTGGAATAAAGATACATGGTTGCAGTTGGGAAAATGGAGTCGAGAAGCATTTTCCTGTGCAGCTTTCATCATTTTACAGTTAAGCTGGATGAGGCCTGGTATTGCAGTATCCATAAGAGAAACTTCATTCCTGTTGGTCCAGAGAAATAAGTATCTGTACACAGCATAGTATGTTTTGCTAACTTTTCCTCTGGTTTTTGTGATTTCCAGGCATGCAGTCTTAATTTGTGTTTTCAGATCCATACATACGTGCACCCACCCTCTAGTATCCACTATGCCAACAAACAATTACCTTCCAAAATAGTGACTCTTTAATGATCCCATCACATTCCCTCATCAAATACAAGATCCATTTGACTGTAATGTACTCTTACTCCCTCACCTCTTTGGAGGTGCTAGACCAGGCAGCAGGGTGAAACTCTTACTTCTTGTTCTTCTTTCTTCCATCCTGTTATCTCTCTTCTCGTATAAGTATAAAGAAGTATTAACAGGATTTTGCTCATGTAGGGCTCCTCTCCCCTCCAGGTAAAGGACCAAAGCACGTAATTTGTGCACTTCTGAACTTAAAAAACATGACCAGGGAAGCAAAAGTATAGTTTTATAGCAGAGGAAGTGGTGCTGCTGGAGGCTCAGATCTCTACCATGTTATATAGTACCTTTCATCAGTTTTGGTCTATAAGCCAGCTATGGCTGTCCTTTAAAAGGTGTCGTTGGGCTATGGTGATCCACGTTCTGATCACATCCAAATTAGACAACTGCAATGTACCTTACTTGGAGCCACTTTCAAAGACTTTTTAAGTTCAGAAACTTGAGTTAGTCTAAAACGCAGCAGCTAGATTGCTTTCAGGGTCAGGATAAAGGGATTGTGTCACCCCTGCGCTGAGAGATTTGTATCAGCTGCCTTTGTATTACTGGAGTGGATAGAAAGTTCTGGCACTTGCTTGCCCTAAAGGGGCTGGGGTTAGGGTGCCTGAAGGACTGTCTCTTCCCAAACTATCCAGCCTGTCAATGAAGGTCTTCATCTTAAGCACTCTACCTGGTGCTGCTGCCCATGGAAGTGAATGTGGGGCCTTACCAGAGATTGTGGGGCCTTCCCAGTTATGATTCCCCACATGTAGAATGCCAGGTGGCACCTTATTGGCTTTTGAGTAGCAGGCCAAAAAAAATTTTTTTTTTTGTTCACCTAAACCTTTAACGGACTTTTATCTCCGACCCTGTTTTCTCCCTGCTTAAGCTGGCTTGCTGTGGTGTCTGCTTTATACTACCCGTTGCTCTTCTAAAATGCTGATGAATTTTACTGTTTATGTTTTACTTTATTAAATTTTACTTGTTATCTTACTTTTTGTTTTAAGTTGCCCATCCAGTATCATATTATTTCTTTTAAAAAAGCAAATATACTGTGGCTGCAGTCCAGAGATTGTATGCATGTACTTGAACATAGTCAATGCTCTCTCTTTTGCTTTGTATGAAACTCCTCTAGTTTCAGAAATCACTAGGAGTGCAACTGTGTATCCTTTGAACATTTTATCACTGTACGCACAGACCTACCCTACCAGTTTTCTAAGTCATGACCTGGAATTGGTTATAGTATTCTTTGCAGCAAACTGTATCGTAGTCTGTTTTCAGACAGTATTTATCATATGGTCTGTGCTGGCTATTATAAATTACTACTTATGTAATAAAACGGATGGCTAAGAGCTGCCTAAGGAGGTATAGGAAGAATTCAGTTAATGGGAAAAAGCCAGCATGGTGTTGTACTAGAATCTGGGAAGCCCAAGTTCGAATCCCCACTTGGCCCATGGCAGCCTGCTGGGTGACCTTGTGCCAGTCACACACTCTCAGCCTAACCTACCTCACAGGGTTATTGTGTGGATAAAATGGAGAAGAGTAGAATGATGTAAGCTGCACTGAGGAGAAAGGCAGGCTATAAGTATATAAATAAAATAATAAATAAGTACAGAAAGAATTAATTTTTAAAGACATTTGATTGCATTTCTTTCCACAAGGCGGATAGAAATATGTTATTCCTATAGAAAATGACATTTATTAACACACTCACTAATGCAAGCTCCTTGATCAAAGCTGTTTTTAAAAAAAAGGGAAAAAAAAGCTGTTTGCAAGTATATAGCATGTTAGAAACAGCTATTGCCCTGAACCTCTCTAAACAAGTTTAGACATATTATATGTGCAGTAAAAGCTTTGTTGCCTGGCACTTGATTATACAGAATGTTCACTTAACTGGCATTTCTCAGAGAGAAATCTTCTCTGTGGGCACACAAGTGCCCCTATTCCCACATCTCCATTCTGCCGGCTCGATGCTTCTGACACCTGGCATTATTAATTGGCATCACCCAGTGGGCAACCTCCTCCCACTTAGTCACTGTACCCCTGTTTCTTCAGGTGCATGCATGTCTTGCTTCCACCTCAGCAGCTGCCCAGCTTAGTGCTTCTGGCTATCGCTGGGCTTTTGACAGCTGGTGCTGCCAGCTAACATCATCCTCAGGTGCCTCCTTCCCGCTAAGCCTGTCTTGATTGTCAGCAGCCAACTCTGCCAAAGGGGTCCTGGGTGGCTGACCTGCTTGTCTGTGTGCAGTATAGAATGGTTCTGTGGCTCAAGGGAAGGGAAGGGTTCTGTCAGGTGTGAGGGCTGTCACCATGGTGTTTTCGGTGGGGTTTAGGTATTGCAGATTCCTCTGGGTTGTGTCCAGGGCAGAGCACTAAGCTTGTGTGTCTGGCACAGTTGATTAACCAGCAGCCCCTTCCCCATAAGTGTTGAATGTAAAGCCCTGAACCTCTGTAAACAGTTCATATTGGAACTCTATTAGTGGTAGAAAAATCAGTGGTGCATTAGAAGACCACAAACTCATCAAAATACTGGCTCCAATATTATTGCACTATGCCAAACACTTCTGGACAAAACAATCCAGTTGTCAACAATTACTGTAGTATAACAATATTGCAATATATGCCAATGTGTGGATACAGTCCTGTTTATGATAAAACATTTTGATATAAAATATTTTGATATAAAACAACTCTTTTTGTTCTTTTGGATTTGCATGCCATTCCAAACAAATTAGTAATTAACAGCAGAATGCTTATAATGAGAACCTTGGCTTGGAGAGTTGTACAGTAGAGGAAGGGGGTATTTGGCAGTGGAATGTCTTCATGTTGTATTGGCTATTTTGGTGGAAGCTTATTTGTCTGTGAAAAGTTTTAGATATAAGCAGTTGAAAATAATAAAACATTTGAGGCTGAAATGTTGGGCAGTGTTGATTGGTGTACATATGGCTTGATGCTGTGCAGTGAATAGAATTAATGGAGTAGAGAGTTTGGTTTTGTCAATTTAGGCCACAGCTCTCCAGATGTACCTCCAGATCATTGCTCATTGATTTTAGGACAACTACTGCCATGAACCTTTGTGCACAATTGCAGCTGCACTAGATATTTATGGTTGTCATCTCTCTTTTTGTGGTTTACTTTTAACTTATTTTTGCTTTAACTTTTTTTTACTTGTTACAAATACAGCATCTTCATTCTTCTGAAAATATAATTAATTTTTTCCTTTTCTTTTGAATTATATTTCATTAAAAAGTGCCACAGCCTCCAACAATAACACAACAGTCTCCAAAAAACTATATTATTGACCCAAGGGAGAACATTGTAATACAGTGTGAAGCAAAAGGAAAGCCACCTCCTAGGTAAGCACTGATTTTATTGCTTTGAGGTTTAATGCTTTTTAAAAAATAATGTGTGTATCCATGTTATTGAGAAATAGTCTTGATAAGGTTGTTTGAATAGGGAAGTATGCTGCTGATTGTTGCATCTAATACTTCACAGCAAGAAAGACAATTGTGCTTCTAGATCTAGTGATCTGATATTGAAGATTCTCTGTTGCTGCTTGAATATCTGCAGACTTTTGTTTTTGAAAAAGGTTTAGGAGTTCCTGGTCCCATTTTAAAGACTGATGCTTAATTTGTTTATTTGTTGAACATTTTTCTAAATTCTTTTATTTATGCATAAGCTGATCTGCACCATCTCATTAACACATTAAAACACGGGTTGTATTGTGCTTGCAAGCAAGCTTCCTAACAGGGCAAACCCACCCCGGCTCAGAGCCAGGCTGGGATTCTTCCGGACCTTACTCATCATGGTCTGCACTCCATGCAGGGCACATTCCAACCCAGGACTACTAAGCCTTAAGACTTGTTGTATGCTCCTCCAACCCCAAAGTGGGCTCCAACAGAGTCACCCTGACTGCACAGCCCACAGGTACCCAGCTTGAGGACCCCCCCCAACCGCTGATATCTTGGGGTCCTTGCCAATTCAGAATCCTCTCAACCTGTGCTTTTCCCATCACAGAGGGTGTTAGACTCAGCTTAACTCTCCTCCCGCCAACCACTAACGGGTCATGCAGTCCACCGTGCAGATCAGTCAAGCAAAGGACTGACCCAGTAACCACACCATGCCTGAAAAGATACAGCACTAAGGACTTGATCGCAGGTGGAGACTGCTGGCCTAGTGCCCAGATTGTCACCACCAAAATGCATGGCCTGGGGAGGTGCTCCTGCCAACAAACAATCATAAAGAAATGGTAATGGCTGGCTTCAACGCACTCCAACCTAGACATTCAACAGAAGCCTAGTCTCCAACGCCTAGCGGGGTGCCTAAGCTGGAGCCTCCAACCGTTATACTGGTGACCTCCATCCTCATGCCGCGTCCTATAAGGCAAGACAACATCAGCCAGCATCAGTGACTTCCATCAGCACCATATGCCTGGGGCCTCACATAGCCCAATGCCAGACCTCAAGGGGACTAGGCCTCCTGCCCTGTGGCTGTTGAAGCCAGTCCAATGCCAAGGAGTGGGTACCAAAGTTACCTCCTCTGCTTATCCATCCAGGCCACCCACTTGGCCACCCTGACCAACTTGGCCTACCCTCGTGTCCCCCACCAATCTAGCTAACGTCCTGATGAACCATGGGTGAAGGGCTGTCTGGTGCCAGGCATCTGTGGTGCTGCCCCCACCTAGCCCTCCCCTGTGCCTGACCTGAGATCCCATGATTGCTCACCCCGCCCCCAGCTGAATTGCTGTCACTGCAGGGTACCTTCTAATGGTCCTGGCCCCTGGGCTCCTTCTCCTCAGAGGTGCCCTTGTCACAGGAGGATGTGAGGTGCTTTACTCCACCCCTACTCCAAGCACGTTTAAACTTGCACATCTTTCTCAAGCATGTCCCAGAGGCATTGAAGCCCCAGCAGATGAGACAGGGTTGGACCCCCTGCTTATCACCAGCTCCCTGCTCAGCACCCAAGTGCAGATGCACCACCAGGTGCCTGCTGTCTGCATACCTGCCTGAAATGGCCCCTGCGGGACCCATGCATCGGGATGAGAGCTGTTGGTGCTCCAGGCCCCAAGGCAACGAGGGGTTCAGGGATGCTCGAGAGTAGAAAATCTCGTAACACAGCCAAGTGGACCATGAGTATTCCTTAGGTGCCCTGTGTATAAAGTCCTGATACTTTACCAATGCTGGCCCCTGGTCTAGGAACTGCATTACCACTCCCATGTAAATGGTGTAAGGTGAAAGCCAATTGTCAATTTGCATGTACTTTATTTTCTCTAACTCCCTGGGGTCATCCTTCTCACCTTCACCTCAACATCCCTAAAGATGAGCATGAACATGTCCACATACTCACCCCTCCAAATCTTCGCCTTTGTGGCCTGCAGCAGGTGATCCCTCGGAGGGAGAGACCTCTCCATGTATGTTTAGGGAAGTTTTGCTGCTGGGTCCTGCTGCCCCCTGTCCCACAGGGGCCCTGCCATGCCTGCCCCACTGTGTTAATTCCCACCACCACCGGTACCTAAACTCACCCCCTGAGACTCCCCACGGGGAACTGGCACGGCCCCAATGGTGGGACGTCCCCCTGTGGGACTGGAGAACTTACCCATACTTGCCAGGTCATCTGGCACCACTCCTGCTCCACCGCTCAGCTCCTGGGTATCCTCCTCATCTTCGGACTCCCACAGTTGCGCCAACCTGGCATAGAGGGCCCGCCTTTCCTGTTTGCAAGCTGCAGACCTGGTAGGTTTAGGCGGGGTGGCCACCACAGATATGCCATTGCCACCAGCCTTCCACTTCTCCATCTTGGCCCTCTCCATGGCCTTGATTTTAGCTGCCAGGTCCCACAAAGAAGGCCCATCCTCATCCTCAGAGGATGAGATGGCTGGTGGCATCCGTCTGGGAGCCCTCCCAGCCGAGTTGCCCATCTTCTGTGGTTCCTTCTTGGCTGGCATACTGTACCGATGAGAAATTGGGGATAGAATAAAGATAAGAGCTGTTAAAGCCGGACTTCCGGTCTGTGGCTCGGCGATGGCGGTCTTCCTCCTCTTGCCTTCAGCAAGCTGGTGGAGAGGACTGATTGATGCTGCTTTATTCCGAATTAGAACCTTGGGCCCATAAATTCACTGTTGCAAATAAATGTACAATGCTGCCTTACACTGGATTGGCCCCATGCACCTTAAAGCTGCCTTATCCTGAATCAGACAAAAAATCCCTTTCCAGTGAAAGATGCCTGAATGGGCTGGGATGGCTGACCCAGGATGCTCAAAATTGGACAGACAGATGGGCAGGGGAGAGCCCAGTTAGGCGCCAGCAGCCAGCAGCTGATTCTGTGCCACTCGGTGGCCTACTCTTAGGAAGAGCCCACTAGTGAGGTTGTGGGGGGGCAAAAAGATGGGTCCTGGTGCTAGCTGGGCAGCCACCCACCCTAACAGCATTGGGCTCGCCAGTAGGTGGGTGGAGGAGAACTCGAGCCAGGTGCTGGTCAGTTGGTCACCGTGGCCCACACTCAGGGATGGGGCTCAAACTCGCAACCTCAGCTTCGCTTCCACAGGAAGCGGGTTCATAACCAACTAACTGCACCACAGTGAAGGGGACAAGGAAGGAAGGAAGCCCTGACAGACATCGCTGCTGACTGCCCAAAGCTCCTGCTGCCCTCACCCAAGGCTCCAAACCCAGCTTGCTGGGACAGGCCTGCTGCTGCTGCTGGAGTTCCCAGGTTAAGTCCACGTATTTCCTGATTGAGCCCAGTCACACAGCTCCTACCTCCTCTAAGCTCACGCTAGGCCAGACTGAGAAAGGAGGGTGGCTACCACCAGACCTGGCCTTTGAGCCAGACCTCAATTGGCCAGTGCTCCTACTCTGAGCCACCATTGGCTTTCCCCACCCTCGTGCTTCCTTGGAGAAGGTGAAGGGCAGGCAAACGCCAATGCCTGCTGCATGCGCAGGCACCGGTCATTTCCACACTAAGAAGTCCATTTAAATTTTTTTGGTGCCATAAACAGATTAGACAGCCTTCCAACTCAGTCATTATGTGCAGTTTGGGGGATAATTCATTCATTTATTTATTTAATTCTATTTGTATCCCACCCTTCCTGCCGAGGCAGCCTCAAGGCAGCTTACATTTAAAAAGTTAAAATACATCAAAACACAAATGCATTAAACACAATGCACCATCATAAAACTCATATACATAACAGATAAAGTGCTGGTGGCGGTAACGTATACTGATCCCAATAGGCCATGATACGAGGCGCCCTTCCTCTGCTTTATAGGATTGTTCAAAGGGCTGCAACAAGATGATGTGCATAAAGTACTTTGAACACTTCAGAAGCAATGTGTAAATGCTTATCATTACTAAGTTCATTTCAAAATTAAGACCTCATGTATGCATCAGATAGACTTTTAAAAATCCATATACCCACAATAGATGGAACTGAAAGCGTAGTCCATGGTTCTGTTACTTATGCATGGTTTTTTAAGATCTCCCCATTCCAGTGGCAACCCCCCCTAAAAGACCCTTGAGATCAATCTGCTTTAGAGTGAACCTCATCAGATGTGAGGGAGAGTGCTGGAAGAAAATATACCCCTCTCCCATATGTATGAGGAAGCACTATTTGCTTGTGACTTGATAGGATGTTTGGACCCTAGTCATAGTAGATAATTTACAAATTATTTAGTGTTTTTAGTTACAGTAAACATAGAATCATAGAGATGAAAGGGGCTATACAGACCATCTAGTCCAACTCCCTGCCCAATGCAGGACCAGCCTAGAGCATCCCTGAAAAATATTCACCCAGCCTCTTCTTGAAAGCTGCCAGCGAATTTGCCTTTTTTGCCACCGCATCACACTGACTGCTCATATTTAGTTTACAGTCCACTCTTACCCCAAGATCTCTTTCGCATATACTACTCCCCAGAAATGTATCCCCCATCCAGTATTTGTGCTTGACATTTTTGTGGCCCAGATGTAATACTGTGCATCTATGCACAAAAAAGGGTAGCATGTTTAATAGTGAATAGCAGAGTGAAAAGCTTCATTCTCAGAAACCTATTTGTGAGATGTAGTAAATAGCAATCTGGTACAAACTATGGTCCCTTCCCACTTCAGTAGCTTTAAAAAGTAGGG